TTGGTTACTTTGGCGTTGACGAGCCGCTTAAGGTTACTTAAGTCCTTTCGAAAGTAGATTTGACTCACACCACGTCACCACTGGAACTAGAACGCTGAAAGCTTGCCTGAAGACACACTGCATTGATTAGTCCGTCTGATAGATCTTGTCGCTGATTACTTTCTGCAATATCTGCAGTACGGTTTCTGCACGATGGCGGATGATGTTATGGTACTAAATCTATGATAAAAGCTCCCTCTTCTTCTCAACATTAGGTCCATTATGATCGGGTACTACGCGTACCGGATGGGGCTCACCAACTCCCCCATTACCGATCCAGCAGCTACTAAGTAAACTTCGGAGCGATGTCCACAAAGCCGAAGCCCTTCTCCTGGCCGAAAAGACTTCCCTCCGCCTCCACGATTCCGCTGTAGAATCTAGCCGCGCCTGAGCCCTTCTCCTGATCCTGACGAATGCTTCTGATGGCAAGAAAGTCCCCGTTATCGAAGTACAACTTCCAGTCCTGGGCGTACGTCGTGTTCGTGACTGGGGACGTCCATGTAGTTGCGTTTCCGGGAGTCATCTTAAACCGAACAAGGTGAAGCCCGTCACCTGCCCGGATGGTGGCGAAGCGCAGTTGCTGACTCGGCTCTGCAGTATCCGAGTACCATATACTGGCTCGGATGCCACCTGAAAAGTTGAGCCCGAACCAGGTGAAGTTGTTGGGGCCGCCGACGCCGTGCTGGCGGTCATACCAGGTCAAGGACCGTGTGGGGTCGACCTCGAGCGTGGTTCCGTTGATGGTGAAGGAGCCCTGGGTCCTGCAGCTCGGCAGCGACCATTGCGTGGTGGTCCCGGTTCCCCAACGGTAGCGACCGACGCCGCCGTTGAGTATGACGGGCGAGGAGGCGTCAAAAGTGAGGTTGAATGCGTATGTGTCGTACTTACCCCACGTGTTCAATGACGAAAAGCTGTCATTAGAAGTGCTCTTGAAGGCAGATCCATCGACTTCAATGTCGAGCAGGCCATTCTTGATCGTCAGGTTTCCCTGCAGCGGCGCGAGGCCACCCGTGAGCCAGTAGTTGCTGGTGTGTTCGAGATCCAGGATTGAAGATTGGAAGACACTCTGACCGGTACCGGTTGGCACTTGCTGTGACATAATTGCATACTGGTGGTCATTGGAAGCTGTGACGAAAGATGCGGCCCAGTAGGAGTTTGTTTGTTCAGAGGCCAATTGAGACTCCTGGAAAGAGTAGAGAGTTGGCAAGTTCGACTAGATGGACTGTGTCTTAGCACTCATTTCTTTATTTCTTGTTGCATTAGATGTATCTCTGGGCATCATAAAAGGACGGCTCTTACCCCGAGACTGTCTATGCCCGTGGTATCGGGTACGATGTCGAACCTCACGGCGGAGGTGGCTCCGAGCAATAGTGCCCAGTAGCCGCTGCTAAGACGTCCCATTTTGCAACCGTTCTGAGGTCAAGGAGAAAGAGTGTGAGAGCCTCAGATGAAGGCGGTGAAGCTACCTGAAATTTGTTGGGTAGTGGGGAGTGGTAAAGTGAAGGACAGCATTGAGAAAGAAGAGACTTTTATACCAAGTGAGGTAAGAGTAAATACCTTGGACTTCTCAACTCTGAGTCTGGAAAGTGAATTGAGAGTCGAAAGTGCCAAGTAGTTTGATAAACTCTGGTTAAGTTCTCTGACGGGGCTACAGAGATTCATGACCTACAACCTCTATCCACAATCCAACATGGGCTTGTCGTCTTTCCATTGACAACAGGGTCATATGGACCAGTTTGTTACGGAGGCCGGATTTCAAACTCGATCCAACTCCCTTGATACGGCGATTTTAAAGCATGCTTGATGTCTGTCGTGAAGTAAACCCCGACATGCGAGTGCGATCAACGTAAAAATACGAGAGACGGACCTTTCCACTGGGGACGGAAACCCGGCGGACTACATCCCGTTTACCCCATCGACAGAAGCCGGAATCCTGAATCGGGCCCCCAAATGTACCGACCGCCGAGCTCGATGCCGTGTCTCTCCTACTGCTAGTGGCAATAGGCCATGAAGACGGAGTCGGCACTTGTGTATGAACCGTGAAGGGAATTGCGTGCCAATCTACCATGTACATAGCCACCCAAGCCACCCTCGTTTACAAACATCAGCCCGATGTTACTTAGACGCGTAAACTTCTAATAATTCCCGCTATATTGTTTGATTATGTATATTATATTACAGTAGTTGATGGACTGCTCTGTGTCGTCAGAGCTGCACCTAACCATAAGGCAAGACAGAACAGTTCACTGAGCCACGGTGTAGTCGAAGAATCTCATGCACAGCGTCCCAAGTTCGCCATGTTCCTCCAGTCCGAACTGCAGTCTTGATGGCCGAGCTACATGCTATAGCCCGAGCTCTGATCAAGTTTTGGACGAAGTTCATCCGTAGAAGTAAAGCATTGTTCGACAAGTTTCGGTGGCAACCAGTGGGAAAGACTTCCCAAAACGGACTTGGTTTCCCGAAGGTTGTGGGGCTTCCCGTCGATCTGAGAAGCGCTCCTGGAACTTTGACCTGGAACACCCCTTTAGAAGCCCCTATCAAAATGAGAACTCAATGACTAGTTACCCCGGATTATTCCAGCTGGGACGAATGCCATCCTTGGACGTGATTTCCCGTGAACACGTTGATGAAGGCCTCCCAGGGCCCCGAATCCCGCTCAGACATTTTGATGGCACTTGTTCCTGTGAGGCGCGTCAATCGGAAAATCCCTAGAACCCAGCGGACATTTCCAACAGCTGGGCAGAGTCCAGAATCTCTGCGGACTTTAGGGCCCAAGGAGTTCGCGACGACGCCGACATTGTACGTGACGTTGCAAGTGGTGGAACTTGCTCCATCGAAATGTCCAAAAACGGTAATTCGGTATCGAGCCACTTACATCGGGACTGTGTTGAAATACCAACGATGATGCGAGTGAGGTTTCCCATATCTGAGCATTCAGAGATCACAGACATTCTAGCACAGCTCTTTTGATACATTTTATTTGAAAGCACTTCACTTTAACCACCATGACTGATCAACCCTTTAAAGTCATCGTCGTTGGCGGCGGACCGAGTGGCATCACGGCGGCACACGTGTTGCAGCAGGCTGGCATCGACTTTGTCGTTCTTGAGAGGAGAGACAGCATTGTCGATGATGTTGGCGCCAGCTTGGTCCTCAGTCCTGGCTCCTTGCGTGTGTTCCATCAACTTGGGATCCTCGAAAATCTAATGGAAATTGGCAACACGCTGTCATCAGGCACAGGATTCACCTCCGACGGCCACAAGTTCAAGCAAAACCTGATTGGCGACTACATGATGAAGAAGTAAGTAGTCAACTACTGCTCGTTCTCAATGCGTAGAAATCCCATGCTAACAACTGCTGCTTACAGTCACGGCGCAGGCCTCACCACATTCCACCGTGCCCACCTGATCCAGGTCCTCTACGACACCCTCCCCGAATCAGCAAGAGCGCGCTACTTCACCGGAAAGAAGCTCGCAAACATCGAGTCGACCGAGAAGGGCGTCATGGTGACCTGCGAAGACGGCTCAACGTACTCTGGAAACATGATCATCGGCGCCGACGGCGTCCACTCCGCCACCAGACGCCAAATGCGCAAGCTCGCCCTCGCCGAGGACCCCAACCGCGACTGGGATCCGATCAACCCGTACAAGATCCAGTACCAGTGCCTGTGGGCATCGTTCCCGCGACCCACCGACGCCGGTCAAGGGTGCGAGACGCAGAGCAAGGACAAGTCCATCATGTACCTCACCGGCAAGGAGAGGGGCTGGATCTTCCTCTACGAGAAGCTTACAGAGCCCATCCCCGAGAGGATCTCCTTCACGCCCGAGCAGCTCGAGGAGTACGCCGAGCGGTTCGCCGACTGGCCCGTCGCGGAGAACATCACGGTCAAGGACGTCTTCAAGGAGCGGTACAGCGCGGGCGGCGCTGGTCTCGAGGAAGGGATCTGCAAGAACTGGAGCTGGGGCGGGCGCATCGTGCTCGTCGGCGACGCCGTGCACAAGTTCACCCCCAACGCCGGCCTGGGCTTCAACAACGGCCTCCAGGACGTCGTCGCCGTGTGCAACAGGCTGCAGAAGCTCACGGCCAACGGCAACAGCCCTTCTCCCGACGACCTGCAGAAGCTCTTTAACAGCTACCGCGAGGAGAGACACGTTCTCTTAGAGAAGGACTTGGACGCGTCGGCGCGGTTGACGAGGTCGCAGGCCTGGGCGTCGACGTTTGACTGGATCATGGCGAGATACGTCATGGCGTTCTCGTTTGTGCAGAAGATCTTCTTCACGCTCAACATGTCTCCGTCCATTCAGAGGGCGAAAGTGTTGGACTTTGTACCGGCCAAGGAGGTTTTCAACGGCAGATACAAGTGGTTGACCCCTTTCCCGAGCGAGAAGTAGTTTGAGGCGTTACGTCCGTTTTCTTTTGTTATGCCGGTTATTTTGTTTCAGCTTATTAGAGCATGTTAATTTGAGCGTGAAGCCGGAGTTGGATACATAGATGGGAACGACTAGAATTTGTACGAATAGCCGCGATAGAGAATCTGATTTTCCCCCTCAAGCTCTGCATTATCATCTATGACTTATATGGACAGCGTTATCACTTTAGAGTTGCTAGCCATTGAGCCAAAGCTCGCTGAATCAAGTTTCCTTCCACCGTGCCTTGGTAGTATTTCTGCAACTATGTGGGAGGCAATGACTTACAGGACAGAGTCATGGGACTCGAGGGTAAATGCATCACACTTGCTATTCTCTTCTGACAGACGTTCATTCAAGGCCAGGACTCGGATCTATGCCTAGACTAGTGACGTACGGAAGGAAGCGAAACTCTAATTGATGGGGGTATGAAAGTCGGCAGTTGTTAGAATACCACGCCAAGAAACCGGACAAAAGTTTACCTTCTGAGGCTCTGCTATTAGTTTACATTGTAAAGAAGGGACAAGATTAGACAGAATTGCAGGTTAATTCGACATGTTGGGGGTCAGACCTGTCGCCTTTTACGGTTGGAAGCCGAAAGCTCAGGAGCGGTTCGTAAAGTTGGGCCCGAAGGCTCGATACAAGCAAGGCTGGGATCGTCGTAGTTCATCGGACAATTGCTCCGTCCACAGTGAGTAATCATCCGTGATGGAAGTCAGAGACCAAAGAAAGGACACTATTTCCCTGATCTTTCGGACGGAGTCACGGACACCGAAGCCGGGCGCGACAGTCGGCGAACCTTAGCTCCTCATCGGAGACGGCGGCCCGGCGGATACCCTGCCTCCTTTCGGTAGGAATTTCCACTCTGACATCCAGGAGCGGAATCTCTACTGTATCGCCATGCCCACCGATACGTGTAGTCTTTGAGTGACCGATTATGAGTTGCCGTCGTTTGCTCAAGTTTGATTGACCTTGATGGTTGCACACTCCTACAGGCTCTCACAGACTCACGCTACGTTTCCACTCATCTCCGTCTCTGGTTTCCAGGCGCATACTTATGCCCATCTCAACATCATGTGACCGTCCTACGGGAGCTGTCGCTGCGGCAACATCAAGATATCATTCAAAGGAGACCCCATAACTACAGTCCGTCAACACCCGACATACCACGTTCTCCGTGGGACTTGCACACCGTCGATAGACCCCGAACCCAGGCCGCCTGCCGCCTGCCGCTGCTTCGACTGCCGCCAAGTATCCGGCAGTGCCTTCGGTGTAAGTGTCTTGGTCCCAGCCGCAGCCTTCGCGTGTGACAAGGTCACGCCGACGAACTACGTCAGCACGCTTGACAGCGGCAACGAGGTCGTCAACCACTTTTGCGGGACCTGCGGCGTAACGCTCTGGGCTGACGGGACGTCTTCCCCGTTCAAATTCGTCAAGGCCGGTGTTTTGGATGATCTTGCCGCACTGGACATGTCGAAGTCCGCTGCCAAAATATATACCTGTCGACGTGCCTGGTGGTGTTCGGCTTTGAAGGTAGCGCAGCAGAAGGAGAAGATGTAGGACACGGATGGCACAGCGGGAGGGAGGAGGGGCTCTTTATCAGTGAATTTGGCTACTATACCCAGTAACTTCATTAGCTTATTTATACAGAGTATACATGAGGAACGGACTCAACGGAGGTCTCTTCCACGAGTGATCCACTTGCCGATCTGTGAGGGTCTGTCGGCCCGCGCCGATGGGATCCCGCGCGGTTGGGCAGATGCGCGGGCAAGCTAACAAACCTCGCATGCAGCCCAGGAAACTCGTTGGTCCATCGTATGCAGTCCCGACTTAAGAAAGGCATATCGCGTTCTCCTCAAGTCCTCTTACCTTCTCAGCCATGGCGTATTCCTTGCTTCGATGATGCTCTCTGGCAATGGTTTCTACGACCGGCTGAGGCAAACTTTCCCCAACCAACAGCTTGACTTCATCCTTGAAGAGCCCCGCGTCGCCCGGAGAGAGAGCATGCAACCGAGTTGATTTGAACTAGAATAGAAAGAATCAATGTGTGAGAGACCCGAAGCTGGAGTTCCCCTTATCATGGCGATCACCTCCAACTCCTCGAAACGTGGCCCTCCCACATCAATCGGCCAACCTGAGTATTACACATCATGAGGCATGGGACGCTTCCCATCGCCGTGGAGGTCGAGCAACCCCTCCCAAAGACAACGAGAATTGGTAATCATGTCTTTCGACGGCGTAACACTTATATACGATTTTACGGAATGCCAGAGCTACTGAACCACAGAGGACAAGGTATCAGATGCTCAAAGTTCTTGGAAATCAGGAACTTAGACAGCCTTACCTCGAAAGTCATTCGTAGCTTCGCTTGTGCCTTGACAAAATCCCATCGCCAACCCCGACTTCGGATCTGATCCCGTTGCCCCAATGCCTCCATTCGTCTTCACAGCCTCAAAAACAGCCCTCATCACCGGGGGCGCATCAGGCATCGGTCTGGCCGTCGCCAAGAAATGCCTCGGCCACGGCATGAAGGTCCTCATCGTCGACAACAACGAGGGCTTCCTGGCCTCGGCACAACGTAGCTTGGGAGAAGACAAGGTCTCAGCCGCCAAAGCAGACGTCAGCAGTCTCAGGGACTGGGCTCATCTCAAGAAACGTGTCGACAGCGATTTTCAGGGTAGGATATTTGCCTCGCTCGATGTGACCCTTGCGCCCTGGTACACAGACATTCTAACAAACCTCGCCAGGCCGCATCGACTTCCTCTTCCTCAATGCCGGGATCCAGCCTTCTTCCGCGTGGGACGACCCCTCGACCTTTCAAACAATCTTCAACGCAAACCTCTTTGGCGTAATTAACGGCATTTCAATCTTTAAGTCCACTGTCTCATCATCATCATCATCGCCCTCCTCCTCCACGGCCATCGTAATCACCGGCTCAAAACAAGGCATCACAACCCCCGCCCCCCCCCGGCAACCCAGCCTACAACGCCAGCAAATCCGCCGTCAAGCCCATCGCCGAACACCTCTCCTACGACCTCCGCGACTCTTCTCCCAACACCAGCGTTTTTCGTCTCGTGCCCGGATGGACGTTTACAAGTCTCGGGCGCAGCGAAGAGAAACGCACGTCGGCAGAGAAGCCTGCTGCTGCGTGGACTCCGGAGCAGGTTGCCGACTACTTGGAGGCCAAGATGGCGAAAGACGAAGTTTATGTGATTTGCCCCGATAACGAGGTGACGGAGGCGATGGACGCCAAGAGGATGCTCTGGGCTGCAGAGGATGTTGTTCAGCGGCGGCCGGCACTGAGTCGGTGGAGGAAGGAGTACAAGGAGGAATTTGAGGCGTGGGCGAGGTCTTGAGTGCGGCGAGTACGAGGGTAATTCGGGACTGTCTTCAAATTTAAGTGGTCATTGAAGAGAGAAACGACCGGGGTTTAGATCCGTCGACTGGATTCACCACAGAGACGTGTTGTATGTCTTTTCTCAAGACGCGAAATCGAGTATACACGCGCACACATCACGGTCTCTCTTGAAAGAGTAGGAGTGTCGATTTCACAACGAATCGTTTCTTCCAATAGCAATCCTCAGCTGCGCTACACTATGTCTATGTTAAGTGGGCGACAGAGACCTGCCGCGCGAGCATCCGTATAGTCTTTCCAATTTTTTTCTTCAAACCGTATCTCCTGCCCATAGAACTCGAATCGCGCATCAAAATCAGTCTCTACAAGCCTCCAACGGCGAATACGATACTCACTGACACAGTGGGCAGGCCCTAAGTACCGCGCTGTTCGAACCCGGTTGGGAGGGTAGGAAAACTCTTGGTCATTTTGCCGATCTCTGTATGTTCTCTGAGACTCGTCAAACAGTACTGCAATCTTGACTAGTAAGAATGGCAGCCCATCATGGGAAATGTCTGAAACCTCGTACACTAGCTTGGGCGAGATCGGCCGCAAGCATATCGATACCTCGACCAGATGCTCTGCGGAGAAGCCCCTCGGGAATTCCCAACCATCTGGCATGTCCGACTTTTGGACTTCAGACTCATCTATTAAGAAGTCCCGCGGCCCTGTTTCGTCGAAAGGAATCAAGATGTCGCCAAATTCCATGTCGTGAGGCGCCAAACCATACTCTTCTTCCACGCTAGTAAGATCGTCCGGACCGGCATTATTAAGAGAGTACGGTAAAGGATCCAGCACAACCAAAGCGAACTTTTGTAGGATGCTACCAATCAATGTGAGTAGCAGTCTTTGTTCCCTTCAAGGGACTCCGTATTTCAAAAGCCGGTCCTGACTGTTTTGTACAGCTTCCCCATGAGCGTGTGCAAAGGCCAACTGCTAACGTAGTGTTTGGCCTCTGACACAACGTCATTGCCCTGTAGGATAATTGCAAATGATGCCGTGACCCTTAGACAATGTCTAGGTGTCGCGCATCGGTTGAGGATCGGCTTGAGGCATAAGAGTGCATGTCTCCATAACTTCTCCCCCTCGACTAGTTCTCGCGGTAGCGTCAGAATCTGTCGGGCACTCCTCCCATACAGACCACCACGAATTGGCGACCACGTAACGCGGAGTTTCTTCTGCTTAGCAGAAAATCTCGTTGCGAGGAAAATCAGTTCTGAAGGATCTAAATCCGGATAACCACCTGGCACCTGGAATGTCTTGCTGTGCCTCTAGGACCCAGAGATTCTCTTTCTCTCTGGTACACAAGATGTCATCCGAGTGTGGTTCTGAAAAAGGACCTTCAGTTTCCAAGCCGCCCATCTTATCGGAACAGCCAATCCAAGGCTTGTCGCCGCGATCTGTTGAGTCCAGGCGACTCATATGGAGGAACTCGCCCGACGCCAATCCCAGCTGTCGAATCCCAGACCAGTTAAGGACCCAAGACGGATACTCGGCGTCGTCTAGGCTCCTTCCAGCAGCCGGGCCAAACGCGAAAAGATGTAGAATGACCCGGCTTGCCGAGAGAGCGCTTTCATTGATCAATCTCTCAGCCAGCCGGCGATACATTTCCTTCCAGCCGATCTGGTCATACTGGAGATCGATTGGTTGTTCGTTCAGGGGTAGGAAGCCGTATAAAGCTGCAAGACTATCTCGTGGGTCTGAGTACTTGGCCTTATGGAATCCCTAGAGCAGTTCTAAGAGGTCATCCGTCACATCACACCGTAGCAGATGTCGCAAATATCCCAGGTTGCCCTGAGTTAGCAGGCGACTCTCCACCAAGTACCAAGCTGCTCGGAAGCGTGCGTACTCAACACAGTGCTCTCCATAACGCAAGACGGCTCGATCTGCAAGCTTGATCTCTTGGATGACCCATCTTCGGCTGAGCCATGGCTTTTGCGTCAGCATCGTCAGGCTATTGCAAAGATCCGTCTTGTAGGACTCGGTCGCCGTCGAGAACGCCTGAACCATGCGTATGTTGGCAAATGCCACCACGACTTCATCGGCATCGACGTCGCCAAGCCAGACGTGCACCGTCTCGGCGCACTTGTAGATCTCGCCCATCTGTGGGAATCTGCACCGCCTTATCATTCTCATCCTGTTGGTCGATGCACAGGGCGCCAATCCAGAGGTACAGCGACTCGTCAGGATCGCGCAGGTATCGCAGAATGCTATCGACGGTCGGTGTGATTCTCAGCAGCGAATCCTTGTGCGTGATGATATCGTCGCCAACACTGCTTTGATGAATGACGAGGTCGACGGAGAAATCGGGCAGACCCCGGGTGCACGATACGGCAGAGTAGTTTCGGGATGTGTCTCTGCTGCGAAGCTGCTCCCGCCGACTGTATTGGATCATAGAACACTGCAGTTGAGATTCGAATGAGCCTGCGGGCTGGAGAACGAGCACGCGTGTCGAGTCTGGGTGTTTCAACGGTTCGTAGCTGTCACTTCCATGCTTTTGAGAGACTCGGACTGATGTCGCAAATGTGGAATGAATGCATAAAAGGACTACTTTAGGTATCAGGTTTATTGGTGCTCAGCCGGCTAGCTTCTCTGTACGGCACCGCAGAAACTCATACGATTCAAACTTGCGCCAGCCCGTCACGAGATTGCCAAAATGAATAGCACACCAAGGTAACAACCTACTCTACTTCAACCAACTTTATCAACCTTTCCTAAATCAATTCATCGTTTCGATACGCTGAAGCCAGCTGAGTGTCCCAGATACGCGATGTAATATCTCATCAATTTCTTAGATTTGAATAATCTAGTCTGGTATGTCTTTTGTAGTACCCATGCGGAGAACAGCTTGTGCCACTTCTTTTTGACAGCCGCGTGCCCGTGTATACGACGCGTCAAGCCTCTCTTAGTACCAAAAACTCGCTGGACTCCGCTCCTCTTTAAAATTTCAATTTTGAATAAAGGCATGTATTATCCAGAAGATGAGTAAGATAGCGGGAATATGGACTAGTTGCATTTCGGTACGATGTGAGTTTCTATGGTAGTCTCATACCCTAGGGTATATCGAAGGATAAACCACCTCCAAGCAACCTCACTGTCGGTTGCATCACATTTCACTCCCTCCACTTCGAAGAGCGTTGCCTACCACTTCAAGTCGGCGAAGACATGATAAGAAAGGTCCTCTCTTCTGTACCCACATGGTTCCAATTACAACCCCAAAAGTCCCATCTCGACCTTCCCCTTCTTCACACTGATTTGGGCTGCTCGCAAACTTGCGACCCTCAACTTCGGGACGCGTCGCCTCATCTCGAGCCTTCTGTTCGGGGCCATCCTTGAAATTCCATAGCAGGGCATTCACCATGCTGGCCTCCTACATCATTGAGGTGCGTGTTTTCCTTCCTCCCTGGAACACCTGGAGTGCAAGACCGAGCTGTCCACGATTCTGACCCAAAACACCCATCATAAACTCCCTCTCACTCTGCAAACACCACATACGACCATACCCATTGGAAAACTCGGGATCCCGTCCGCTCTCCCATAGATAAGCCAATGAGGGCCGGATTAGTAGTTGGGTCGGTGACGACCAGCGAATACCTGGTGTTGTATGTCTTTTGCTTTTCGTTTTCTCTCCCGCCTTCAATTTTTGCTCTCAAAATCCCCCGATATCCACTTCTGATGTTGGCTTTTTGGAGTGGTTGTCGCTTTCGACGAATCAAAAGTAAGCGCTAGTCTGTGTTTGGCTATTGGTCGGGGAGACCTGCGACCCATTGGATTGGATTGGATGGCCGGCCACTTTAGCCATGAGATTGCACGTGCAAGAAAGCTGACATGCGCAAGCAGGGAATAAGGTAAGAATGACTTTGCTCCCTCCCCCCCAAAAGTCTAAATTCCCGCTTGCCTTTCGGTGGACTTGCGTCATGGACGGTAGTCCCCACCACCACCACCCCAAATGACATTATGACCTTGACTCGGGGATGGGGGACCTCTTCGATCCTGTTTGGTCACTTACACAGAAATGACGATAGTACTCCGTAGTCAGAGTTTCTCTTTACATCATGTATCACAGTCATGCAGGACGCAAAATGTTGGACAGCACAAAGGTTGGTATGATTGATGCAGTATATGCCTGTGTACATGTGTATTCTCCATGACCCGTTTTTGTCGGGCAGTGGAAGACTCTCCTTGCGACTCCTACTTTTTGGGGGATGGTTGGTGGTGTTCTTCGTACAATCGGAGTGGGAACAGAAATTCGGGATGGGAGGCTAACACCACCATAACACCACAAATCTGAACCTGGTAAAAAGAGAGAGTAGATATGCGCGTCAATTCGATGCGGGTGTAATGTGTGTGTGTGGTCCAAAGGTATCATGACGCTCGCGGCCGGGACAAACCACGTAGACAAAACAAAGTAAAAAAAAGGAATCCTTCCCCTCCCATTGTCCCCTTTGGGTGAAAAACAAACCAGCATCCCGTCTATTCCAAATGCCAAACTCCAAGATTCGCCAGGTTTGGAGGGACTTCTTCTCATCCTTGACTGGTGAGGACCCCCAAACTCCACATTATGACGGCTCGCCCTTGTTCCGCCGTCCTCAACTCCGTTCGACCAGGCTTCTTCTGATGCTTCTTCGGGGGTATGGTACCGTTTTCTCCTGCCCAGCAAGATTTCAAATTTTCAAACATCATTGCGCGCTCTGAGACCTCGACCGGTTGCCGCGTCGATTGCTGGATCGCGGAGTGCTATTCCCCTCCCGCCCCGCGCCGGCTCTCACCGCATCAGTGTAGCTAGGTATCGGTGGGTGCGATGGTCCGGCCGCAGCGGCTGCCGAGGCGCCTCGACTCCGATTAAGAACGCGGATCAACGGCGTATTTTCGCTGTCTGTGCTGTTCCGACGGCTGCCGGCCTCCGAGTGGTCGGGGCTCGTGTACTCGGGTGGCGGGTTCAAGGCGTCTTGAAGCCCAAGCCCTACGACGCTTTGCCCTTCGTGCCCGCGATTGATGCTGCTGCTTGGCTCGCCGCCCTCATCGTCGGACACAAAGTGCGTCAGGGAGATGTCAGTCGGGCTTCTTACGGGACCGGGGCTCCTCGGTGGAAGTACTCTGAAGTTTCCGCTTCTCGTCCGCCCATGTTGAGGTCCCAAGCCACTTTGCGAGTAGGACTGTGTCTGAGAGTGCCCCCGCTGCTGCTGTCCGCCGCCGCCGCCGCCGGTGCCTGTGTATCCGTCCTTGCGTCCAGCTTCGAGCAGGATATCGCCCTGTTCGGAGCCATACGGTGGCGGCGGTGCCAGGCTGCCCGTCATGGGGGCAAGACCCCATTTCTTCACGTTGGCCTCGATGAAGACGAAGCCGGCCTGGCCAAAGTTGACGTGGACGATGCAGGGCCCGTTGGCACCGATGGCAGGGAAGAAATTTTGCGACTTTACACCGTGAACGGCATCTTCCAGCTTCTTACCATTGCGGGTGAAGAAAATGGTGCCCGTTCGGGGACGATAACCAACACCGATAACATCGCCCTGAACGAACTGAGGTCCGTAGGGGGTTGCGGCAAATGGCTGGTTGCAACGGCGCTGGCCTGCTGACAGGTATGCTACGGAATGTTTGTGGAAGCCTGGATGGTTAGCGTCATGCGGTTGCAGCGAGGGGCTGGAATGCCATATACCTGGTAGCCTGAACAACGGGTACGGTTTGGTGGCCATGCCGATGCTGAGGAGGGTATTCTCGGGCTTATCGTAGATCTTGGCTTCCCAGTAGTAGACCTCGTTTTGCTTGGGCACAGGCAAGTTGCTCATGACGGTGCACTCAGAGTCGAAGAACTCAATCTCGGTGCGGCCTTCGACGAAACAGTTTGCGATTTCCAGCTCGGGTTCAAATTCCCAAGCAGAAACACCCTTTTCTTGAATGGCGAGGTATTGCGATAGAGAAATGTCGGTTTGAACGGATTCGGGGGGGTTCGCTTGGATGAATGCTACAACGGGGGGTTGGTTAGTCGTGTGCGGATATCGCGGTAAGGACAATACGAAGGCTGCCTACCTTTTGCCCTGAGGTACTCGGTCTTCTGCATATCGTCCATAGACTCGAGAGCCTCGGCCTCCTCCCGGGCAAAAGCCTGCTCATCGTCGTATTCGCCTGGTCGGCCGATGCGATCGAGAAAGATGCGACCACTGGCCGTGTATCTGAAGAAGTAGATGACGAGGAAGATGAGAGCGATAAGGACGGCGGAACCAAAGGATGAAAGCAATCCAATGACAACGCCGTTCAGCGCCGATGATGGAGCTGAGGGTGCCATTGTGGGCAAGCGACGACGTTTGTCGATGGAATCCGGTCAATCGGTCGGCTGTCGTTCGTGGGGCGGTGGTGGTGGACTCGTGAGTAGAGAGGTGGTGAGGTAGGATGGATCGGTCGAGAGGAGGGACGGCTGGCGTCACCGCCGCGAAAGCAGCATTCGCGGGCGAATCGACACTCGTGAAGCAAGCGATGAGAAGGAGAAAGGCGACAGGCGAAATAAACTGGACACGGCAAAAAGAATAAAGGAAGGTCGTCGTCGACGGACGGACGGTGCGAAGAGAGAGAGAGAGGTTGGTTGGGATTGAATGAGATGCGAAAGAGTTGGTTGTTGGTTTGGGACAAGTTGGGTTGGCGCGGGCGGGCGGCGTAGGCGTGAGCGTAAGGTGAGGGTACGGTAGGCGTACGGGGTGCTGTGGGTAGGCACGCAGGTAAGGCACGGTAGCGTCGGTCGGCAAGGTCAGACGAGCGTTGTCGTCGTCTTTGGAGTGAGGTACCTGGAGGTGAGGTAGCAGCGCAAGTACTGCGTAGGTAGGTAGGCGGTTGTGCTGTGCTGCGCTGTGCACCGCTACGACGGTGGAAGAACAGTGAGCAGGGCGAATGGTTGCGTTGCCACAGTTCTCCGACTGACCCAAGTCGCAGGTCGATGGGGCATGGGCTGCTCTTGTTTGTGGCGGGTCCCCTCTCTCACTCTCACTCTCAGTCTCTCTCTCTCTCTCTCAGCTGGGCGTGGGACGCAGACACCTTGGGTAAAGGTACTTTAATATAGGTAAGCAGGTAACCTAAGGTAAGGTTATGTAGGCGGCAGCGGCGCAAAGGGAGTCGGCCGGGTTCTCTGCTGCCCGGGCTACCCAAGGGGCGATGGATGACTAGGTACCGTAACTAGGCACCTTTTACTATCGAATAGCAAGGTGCTTTAGTTAAGGCAAGGCAAGGTAGATAGATAGGCCCCGTTCACGTAGGGAGAATGGGCCGGGGGATCAAGTATCCGAACGATACCTTGGAAAGCCTAGAGGCAGCGTAAGGTAGGGAGAGATCATATGGGAGAGAGGAGTCCAGTTCAGAGTTGGGATGGAAAAAGAGGGGGATGAGGAAAAAAAAGAATAAAAATAAAAGCAAGGTGTGAGCAAAGGGCTGCACACGCAATCCGGTGGTTTGGTACCAAGTATGGGTAATGCGTACGTATCCCTCGTTGCGTGTGGTGGTGTCTCGAGGTAAGTTTCTTTCTGAAAAGCAGGTCAAGGTAGATTCAAGCTGGACCGTGGACAACCAGGTCTAAAGGGCAATAACAAATCAAGCGAGGGCTCAGACGTTGCCGATTCCCGTCAATCAATCTGTCAAGAGTTGACTTGTGTCTAACATCAAGTGAGGAGAAAAGAAGAAAAAGAGAAGGATGGAACGCCGAGATGTCTACATCTACATCTGCATCTACATCTACTGTGTACGTACCGATAGTCATTGGCCAGGACTGCCTGCTCCGGGAAGAGGTCACTCGCAACTGGCACCGCCCGGGACTGCAGGACGAGGAAGACGGGGTCACTGGAAAGTAACAGCACCAAGAAAAAAAGGTGCATCCGTACGGGAGACGACGGCACAAGGCGCAGCTGGACAGGGTACAAGCGGGTCAGGAGCCACAGTACGCGGGACATGTCCGGATCTTGTTAGAGATGCGCTACCGTTTTCATCGCTGCTTGGTGCTCGAGTGCTAACAGGTGGCGGGGGCGAGATTCGTACTGCGGAGTCGCCGTTCTCAGTCAGGTCCCTCAGAACCAAGGTACCCAGGCAGGTAGATGACGCTGACTGACGGGTCCCAGCTCCATTCCCCGTCCAGCATCTCCCATCTCCGTCTCCTCCCATCTGGAAATCTTGCCATCTTCGGTACCTGGTCGTCCTATGACCCCACCCGCCAACTGTTGTGTACCTGCGCCGCAAAAGTGGGCTAACAAGAGCCTTGGACGTCTGTCACTCACTCACTCAGTCATCCAAGGTATCCATAACCTTCTATTCCAACTTCCAAGGTTCTTCAGGAACAGATACGTATCGTTCTTCGTACGGACAACGCACGTGCTCTGAGCGGGCGGAGGTTTGGAGGATCAAAGACGCACAACACCCCCGAAGGGCCCGATGAATCTGCAGCAATCGTCCGTCCGGCAGCTCTGGAACCACCTACCGGAGGAGACTGACGGGAGCCCACCGACCATGCCCGCATCGCCTCCTCACCTCACCGTGTCCCCTTCACCGCGAATTTGCTTGGAGGAGGGAGGATGCAGCCAAGCGTGCGGAGGTTGTGGGAGGCTGGCAGAACATCAGCCAACCACTGCATAACTGGGCACCTCTACTCCATACTCCGTACGCCGTCCCCAGCAGGCCAAATACCGGCCCACGACTTGCTTTCTTCTTCCTGCTCAACAAGTCTGCGGGGGTTTGTGCAACCTTTATTGACTACTGGTGATGTTCCCGGGGGCACAACATCTACAAAGCACTACGGCCTAGACCTTGACCAACTCTCCCTTGCTTGTCTGCTCAAGCCGTCCGGGACCGTCCACCAAACACCCAAGTTCCAGCGCCGTCGGCAGCTCCCCTTCTCGAACACCGTCTCTGCCATTGTTTCCGCTATCAGCATACTTACTCGCAAGACGCGACAATGGCAATGGGGAACAACGATGGACAGAACACAGCGACAGAACAAGGCATGCATTAACCACCCGTCCGGGCGGTTAAGCCTAAGCCATGCTAGGTCAAGGAAGGACCAAACCCACCCGCCAACCCGCCAACCCTAGCCCCAAAGTTCAAGGACCAACGAGGCAGCGTGAGCCCAGGGGCCACTGGAATGGCAGGGTGGCTGGGCAGGGCCTGGCGCAGCCCGCTAGTTTCAACTCACAACAAGAGATTCGCATTGCGGTTTCATGCTCTGGCCGTCTCTTTGTACCACCAAAAAAAGACGGGAGTGGCCCCTTTCGTCTCGAAGCCGCCGGCCGTGCTCAGCCGCAATTCCTCCCTGCCCCGTACCTACAGCCTCCAAGCAGCATTGAGGTTCGGAGGCGAGCAAAGGGAATCTTGGTGTCTCATTATTTACTCGACTAGCCCACTACCGCGGGTCAAGAATGGCATTTTCTTTGTCTGCGTTCGGGAACGAAGCGATGAACAACGGCGGCCCTGACGCAAAATCCATTCTCCCAGGGGCTAGCATTTCTCCAATGGCCGCGACCGTCGTCCAGGACTTCCAGCGATACGACCCCATCCCCCCCCGTCCCGTCACTGTAACGCGCAGGCCATCATCATGCGCCGTATTTCCCCTTTTGCATCCGACTTCTTCATGCTGCTACCGATCCATCCATGCCCCTTCCCTCCTCATTCCTCTGAATTGCCCGGAGACGGTTGCCCACGCACCAGACGCCCCAAGCTTTTGGTAATCCTTCCCGCTCTTTCGTATCTCTCGGCACCCGGCATCGTCAAAATCTGAAGGTAGGGTACGTTTCCAGCGTTGCCCCCTTTCCTGTCCGTGATCGGGTCCGAGACCTCCGTGATGAGAGAGCTTCAGGGACGGCGAGGGAAGATTGCTCCTAAACCAGAAAAAGAAAGAAAATTCCTGCTCACGGCCCGCCGCCAGACTATTGTCAGTGCCCCATCGCATTCCCACCATTGACGGACACCGGATACCTGTCAAGTTCATGTCAGAAGTTCCTCCAAACGGCGCCGCACCCGAACGCCTCCTCTCCCCGTCTTCGCTGGGCTGGGCTGGGCTGGCTGGCGGCGCGCACAGTCGCTAATCGGGGGCACGGGGGTTGTCGGTGTCGGTGGGAGTGGATTGCGTGCCTGGTTTCGTGGTTTGTCCGCTACCTACGCTGCGATGCTACCTTACTCAGCACGTCAAACTTGAGAGTTTTGGGGCGCATTCCGACTTCGTACCCCCCGTGCCCCCCCGCCCGTAGGGCCGGGTGGATCCACCCTGTCCTTTTTCGACTCCACTTTGCTCCGGTGCGGGAGATCGGCCGGACGGGAGACATGGTAAACTCGTGATCCACTTTTCATCTACCTCCGAAAACCACTTTCCTCGCGCCGCACCCCGTGAAGGGTTCTTCATCGTCCGAAACCTGAACAACCACGACGGCGAATGACTGTGTTCTGCAACAACTGCAGCAATCACGTAAGGGAGGGTCGCATCGAATTTTTCACCATGACGAGGGACCTTTTTCCAATCTGTTACTGCTGCTTGTTTGTTCTGGGGTTCGACATCAAAGCCGTAGATTGTCTGGCGGTAAAGTTTTACCATCCCCCCCCCTGTTAGTACCGAGACCAACGACCACCGCGGTCCCCGTCTTGTTTGCCTCTACGTTCTGTGAATCACCCACGTTGAAGTTTCCAAACGCATTTCGCTGTTCTTGTGTACCTCATTCACCCTGTAGAGTCACTATAAAATATGAGTGTGATTGACGCGAACCATTCCAGACGGAAGATCAAACCACAATCGCCTTGACCGAAGGCCGGTTCGTGAGTCGGTGGCAGCAACTCATCTCCTGTATGTGAGACTCATCCCAAACTCACCTCCGATGTACTGCTCTGCAGTGAAGCTATTTCCGATACAAAAGTGATCCACCCCTTCCTTTCTATCCCATCTCCGATACATATTCACCACAGTAACCCACGCCGCCAGCGCCGCAAGGTCCCTGGTAGAAATACCCCCATCTCCGGTATCCCTTCTCTATACTACATTATAGCACCTCTTATCCCTTTTATTTCTTCTTCTTCTTCTCGCAAGCAGGTCAGTCAGCTCAGTCAGTCACCACTTACCTAGCCAGTCACCTAGCCAGTCAACTACCCAGTCAACTACCCAGTTACCTACCCAGTTACCTACCCAGTTACTTACCCAGTTACTTACCCAATTCCTTTCTTTACCCCCCCCCCCCCCTTTTCATACACCATCTATTCACAATGGAACACAACAACGACCGCGAGGACAACAAGTCCAAAAGTAAGAAGCCCAACCGCAGACCACGAGATAAACGATCCACCTGCCGCCACTTCCTCGAGGGCCGCTGCACCTACGGCAGAGAAAACTGCAACTTCCCCCACAGAGACGGGGAGCTGCGGCCCGAGATGGTCGCTGCCGCGGCCCAGCAGGAGGAGGAGGTCGCGCTGGCGGAGGCGAGGTACAACGCCAACGCCCACGCCCACGCCCTCTACAGCAGCACCGTCACGTACAATAGTGGGTTGTACGTCAACGGCCACTACGTCAACCACGGCCATTACACCAACAACGGCCGCGTCAACAACAGCCACCACCAGCTGCCGCCGCCTCCGCCTCCGCCTCAGTGGATGGGATATCGCATCGCTAATCCCATGCCCAACGCCCTGGGCCGGCCGACGTTCGACGGCACGCAGGAGGAGGCGACGTCGTACTTCGACTCGCCGCTGCCGCCGTACGCTGGGCCCTCGAGCCATGCTGGACCCTCTCGCCCGCCGCCGGGATACGGCCCCCCGGAATACGGTGCTCCGGTACCTTACTACGCGCCCCCGCACCACCACGGCAGACACGGCCACAGCCACGCCGGTCCCTCCTTCCCGCCGCCGAGTCTGCCCTTGCCCTTGCCCGGCCCGCCGCTCGATCCCATGGGCATGAGCTGGCGACCCACCCACCAGCCCAGACCTCTCGGCCCGCCCCCTGGCTTCGGCCCGGGCCCGTCAAACGCCCTCGCGCCCCCTCCGGGCTTCGAACCCGCACTCGGACCGGGGGCTTACCCCCCTTCCCCCTCCCCTGCCCCCCCTAACCCTCACCATGGGCTTGAGCTGGCGTCTGCCGCCGTCGCCGCCTCGCCTGCGCCTGAAGAGGCCCCCGTCCCCAACACCGCTCCTGCCGCAACGGTTGCAGGCCCGGCTCAAGACCCTAGTACCATACGATGCTGGTACGGTCTTGGCTGCAAGAGGCCAGGGTGCCATTTCCGGCACGATGGCGGCCGCGACGGGCACGTCGTCAATGGAGAGGCCAGCGGCAGCGGCAGCGCCAATGCCAACGGCGACGGCGACGAGGGCTACGAGGGCGACGGCGACGACGTGAGCATGAGCGAGTCGTCAGGCTCCGTATACGTCCCGCCCCCGCCCGCGAGCGAACAGTACGCGGCGGCCGCCCCTCAGTCTTCGCCGCGGCAGCTGCCGGATTCCGTCGCCGGCGATGCCACCCCTCCCTCCGTTGGCGGGGACGTCACCTCTTCTTCCGCTGCCGGCGATGACACCCCTCCCTCCGTTGGCGGGGACGTCACCTCTTCTTCCGCTGCCGGCGACGTCACCCCCCCTTCTCCGGAGCATACCTCGGAGGAACACTCTGCGGAGGAGGGGGAGGGGGATGCGGAACAGCCTGCCGCGGAAGAGGAGACTCCCGAGGCGGAGCACCCCGAGGAGGAGAAGAAGGAGGAGAAGAAGGAGGAGAAGAAGGAGGAAGAGGAGAAGCAGGTCCCTGCTCCTGCCGATGCTGCCCAGCAGCCTGCCGCCAGACGTCCTGGGCCCGCGGTCGTTGACGGACGGAGTGCCTGGGGCTTGGGTCTGGTCAAGGCCGACGGTACGCAGGAGGCTGCCTGAATTCCTCTTCCTTCTCGCTCACGCCGGCAAAAGCACCGTACGCGTATCGACGCGGCGGCACTCATCTCGGGGACCGTCGGAGTGGCGGTACCTGTCTGCTTGCCACCGCGCCATCGTATCAGGAGGTCGAGATCACCCCCAGCCCTCCCTTCCAGGATTGTAACGAGACATTCGTTTCTGATCGTCTGAGATGATGGTGCCTGGAGCGAGAGCCGACGAGCATTAAACATCGACCACGACCACGACAAACTTGATCAGACGCATAGGAAGCAATCGACGACGCAAGACACCAAGTAGAGGCGTCATTGCTGAGATTTTTCGAGTCCGGGAGAATGACATGGTCCGATGGAAACCTGACGTGCTCTGGAGCCTGTGCCCACATGAATACGATAGAGAGACGAAGAGAAAAGAAAAAAAAAAGAGCGAAAAAAGCCACGAGTAAGAGGAAAATAAGAGGTAAGTGAGGAAGGCGGAGGAAAAGACACACGACAAACGGCGAGGAAAGGGTCGTATTGATCTTGCCTCCGACACTACTCGACCGACCGCAAGCCTACCGAGGGACGAGGGACGGCTGTCTAGCCCATGATTAATGAGAAGATGGGTGAGACAGCCGGCCGTTATCTGGTGGTCGGTCGTGTACGGGGAAATCGTGTACGAGAAAAGAGAGGTCGCAACGAGGAGACTTCGGAAACGACTCCAAACGATGAGCCTTCCTCTATGGTGTAATTATTCGGAGAATACTATAGAGGAAGGCCGATGAAAATGACGCGAGACGAGGCTTTCATGTAGAGGGGGTAAACCACTCCTGGGCGGTGAAAACGAGGATTGGGTTATGAGGTATTGGGCAGCCTTCACCATCGTGTCGGGCCCCGTCAACAACTCAAAGTCTTAACCCAAGACGACGACTCGGATAGATTGCCCTGAGGCATTGCAGCAGATTGGGTCACGGTTGCATCCACGGCGTAAACTGGTCAAGATAGGAAAGGATAGAACATAAACTGATCTTTACGCTGGACAAACAAAAACATGCATTGATGTGAGTCCCGATGTCAACGCTCTACACCCGACTCCATGCGCAAAGGAACGTCCTTGGAGCGTCCGCTGGGTAATCTGTATTTTACAACGATCCTTCATCTTATTCGATCTTCTGGGCTCCGTCCCTCCTACAGCGCCAACAGCGGCTGCTGCTCCTCCGCTCGACGCTGGTCTCCCCCGTGCGTTTCCCTCTGAGCCTCGTTCTCACCCTCCTCCGTATCGTTGTGTCCTGAAGTCTCATTCGTCTCGTCATTATTCTGGTTTTCTGTGTTGTTCTCAGGGTTGGCCGCGGCCTCTGCCGCAGCGGCAGCAGCAGCCTCCGCTTCCTCCCTTCTCTGACGCTCGGCGCGGGCTTCGGCTTCAAGATGAGCAATATGGCGCTCCGCAACACCTGGTGCAATACTAGCCAGGAAGAGAAGACCAGCTCTCTCGAGCCGCCGCACTTGATCCATCAACCAGTTCGCATTGTCGTGTCTGCGCTGAGCTACCAGCCTGGCAGCTGCTCGTGTCGGATCAGGTTGACCATCGCGTCCAACCACGGCCTGGTCGTCTCGGGGACGGACAGGCTCATTGACATTATTCGGCGCAGCTAGGGGTAGCAGATTCTCCATGTGACGTCTGACTGGTCCCACAGCCTGGTCAAAGTAATTGTTTAGAAGTCCAGTGTTCAGAACAAAGATGCTGATCGCGATTGAAATCACAGTGATCCACCTAGACCAGCCGGCGTTAGGCGAAGTAAACCACCACACAAAGAGGGCAAGCCTAACTACCAGCCAAAAGTGCGGCCACACTTGCGCAATGAGCGGAGCGATACCCGGGTTGTTGGGGTGGGCAGGCACTGCTGCTGCGGCAGGCTGTCCCTGAGGCTGATGCATGGGCGGTTGTGCCTCAGGCTGGTGCTGCTGCTGCACCTGCGGTTGAGGTTCGGCTTGATGTGCTGGTTGCTGTTCTTCGTGATGAGGTGGTGGAGTTACAAAGGCTCCTGGCCAGGCAACATGTTGAGGGCGACCTCGCATTCTCGCGAGCGCAGAGGCGGTTTGGTGAAGGGTTGAGGTAGTGTGGGGCTGCCCTCTTGGAGTGTAGTACGAGTCCGTGGCGTTGTTGATCAATAGAGCACGAGGACCTTGAGGCGAAGACAAGATATAAACCTCAGGACCGGACGGTGCTTGCTGTTGAGCGTTTGTAGAATGTCTGCTGCCGCCGCTGACTGAGCGAGCGGTAGGATCAGGGGTAGGCCGCCTACTGCTGGCTCTGGATCCAGGGGTTGGGTAGTAAGGAGTAGTGACGCCAACAGATGAGCCTCCATTGGCAAGAGATGTGCTTGAGGCGCTCCTCTGCATCGCGTTGGTCATGGCCAATGTTGCTTGGTTGCTGTCAGCGGCCCTCAAGATGGTCTGGACGTCAGCAGTGGACAGAGGCGTCGAGGTGCCTTGACTGCCCGGCTGCTGAACATTCAATTGGCCGCCGAGGAAGGTCTCGTTGACCGTTACGCGATACGTCTGTCCGTTCGGCATGAGGCCCTCTCGCACATACGTGTGCCCTTCAGGATTGCTAAGCGGGCTCGCGCGTCCACGAGTGGGTTCCACAGGGTTGGGGACCGCCGCCGGTGTGTCGCCAACGCCATGCATACCCATAGACGCTCTCATAGCCTGATTCTGATTGATCTGCTGGTGGGCCATGGCCCTGTTCATAGCCTCACGCTGAAGTCCGTTCATCCAGGCCGTCATGCTCTGGTGCTGTTGCGCCTGCAGTTGCTGGAGCTGCTGCAGGGTCAGGTTCGCTGGTATTTGGGGTGGTGCTGGGAAGGGCATAGGGTTCGATGTCGGATGCAGAGGCGTTCGTCTGGTAAAGGCCGCAGCTGTAGGCTGACTGCCATGATGATGGACGTGTTGGGGTTGACCGGTGGTGCCAAAAGGGCCTGCAAAATGGGCAGTGGGCGGCGCCGGGCTCGACCCTCGAACAAGTGCCGGTGTCGGAGTCGTAGAGCGATGCGGTTCTGCGACGTCTCGGAGCACGAGGTGAATCGTCTGCTGGTCGGTAGTGCGGATCTGTCCCCAAGTCAGTCAGCGATGGTGTGCAATTGTCAGCAGAGCAGGGGGACTTACGACTTCCTCACCGAGGACGGTCAGGAGAGTGTCCCCATCCTGCGCCAAAGGCCGGCCCCGGTAGATCAATCGCTGCTGGGCATCGGTCGGCTTGAGAGGAAGCGCTTGTCGAATTTTCTCCTTGAGCTGCCGAACCGTCGTGGTGGCCGCGAGACCAGGGAAGACCAAGGGTCGGCTAGACGTGGCAGCGGTGGATGGCGACAAGACCTGCAGGTTTACGGACAGGTGTTCAGAAGTAGCCTCTGGCGCAGAGGGCGCGGCGGAAGACGAGGCTTCAGAGGCCATGATGAGGCCTATCGGTCATGCCACGCAGAGCGCGACGCGGCAGCTTCGTCTGATTGTCCGCGGGAAAGGAGTAGTGGTGTATGCGCAAGGAAACGATGCTCATGTCACCGTGTCGTTCGTAGACGGGGAAATTTAGGACATGTGTTGCTCTCCGACTGCAGACTCTCCAGCTCAGGTACGGACCCGCTGGCCTCACTAAAAACGTGGGTACGTAGTCTGTCCCTGGGACCCGGAAGGCCCGATCCATGCACGCTGTCCCAATCGGGCGGGTGGTGACAGCCCGATTATGTAAGCCAAAAGATGAGATGCATCTGATCCTCAGTTACATTGAGGGAAGGGAGGTATACATCACCTGGAACTTACCTATAGGTATTCGTCTTTGACAGGCTTACCTTCCTGTCACTCCGATTTCTATGTGATTTGCATGTTTTCCTATGAAGATGTGTATGTGAATATGAGCTGTGTCACTAGAGGCAATAGTGATGCATTCAAGGGGTCAGCAACGCCACGGTCACAGAGACGCAAGAGTTTCACTAAATCTCATCCCTCTGCCCAAGTGACTAACCCAGGGCAGGCAAAAATGATGAGAAATTCGGGGAGTTGAAGTTGAGTCTCTCGAGCTTCAGACACACATAGAACAATTGAGACCTGTCAAAGATGGACGACCCAAGCACTTCTCCTTCTATGAGGCTGGTAGCTTACGAGTTCGAGCCACAGTGCCGCCTTTATAAATTAATTCCGAATTTTCTTCCGAAAAGTCTCCTCAACACAACTTTGAAAAGATGAAGTGACGCTCCTCGGCTTCCAGCAGTTTTGTGTGCTCGAAGTCTATTCAAATGCATCATGGAGAGGACGTTGCTCCTGGTTGCCCAAATGAGACTAGCGCAGTCGGATGGTTCGTGCTGCGTCATCCCAAAGCTGCCGCTGCCGAGCTGCAAGATCTTATCGCAAGACGCCTGCTCATCCAAACTGTCATCGTCTGGCCCATTTGCTCGTCCCCGCAAACCCAGCCAAAAGCCCGGTGGCCCCAAACAATCGCAAACCCCCTCGATTGAGGTCCCATTCCCACCATGGCTACGCTGTACGCTCGCCAGAGCCAGCTACGGGCCACCAACCTCTTCTCTCTCCACGGCCCCTGCGCCTCGACCCGATTCTTCTCCCAGCAGCAGCAGCGCCCTCGCTTCTCCTCCCGCCTGCGGCACGCCCTCAACAACAGCAAAGTGCAGTGGTACCAGATCCCCGTCGGCCTCGGCATCGGCTTCCTGGGCCTGGTCCAGTTCTACAAGGTCTCGACGCGCGAGCGCGAGAAGCAGGAGAGGGACGACGTCCAAGATGGCGCGCCGCCTAAGAAGCGCGCAAAGATCAGGCCCGACGGACCATGGCAGGTCCAGGTCATGTCGACGCTGCCCTTGAAAGCGATTTCGAGGCTCTGGGGTCGCTTCAACGAATTGACTATCCCTTACTACCTTCGTGTTCCCGGTTTCAAGCTCTACTCATGGATCTTTGGCGTCAAGTATAGTCTATCGAAAAGTCCGAGTCTGGCATCATTCCATGCTAACCTACCTCGATAGCTTG